CAACTCCATTTTGATTCTGACAACTTTTACAAGGGCTTCACGAAAGTTTACCACAAATCTTTGTCCATTTCTAGTCGGTCTTTTCAGATTACTTTAGTTCTTTGTATGATCTCAGCATAAGCTCTTTGTTACACAGAAGTATTATGACTGTTTCCCCAAATCTATATCTTACCCACTATTTTCTCTACAGGTATCTCTTGAGGAAATGCTTTATTTTATTTTATTTTTTTACTTTGATGGTGTCCAATTCATAATTATTTTCTTCCATGTATATTGTTTTGGGTTCTGAAAAACCTTTTGCCAATCCCAAAGTCATAAAGATTTTTTTTTATGTTTTCGTCTAGAATGTTCACGGCTCTGATTTTCTCATTTGGGTTTGTCATCTATGGCAAATTAAATTTTACTTAAGGGAAAAAATAGAGATTGGGGTTTATTTTCTTCCACGTGGATACCCAATTGCTTTAGCACCAAAAGTATTTTCTTTCTTCTATGGAATTAACTTGGCACGCTTGTCAAAAACCTATTGACTATATTTCCTAATATAAATAGTATTTTATTTCATTTTTATAATGGACTGCAACTAATATACAAAAATGTTAATTATTGGATATTAACTTTGTGTCCTGTGACCTTGGTAAATAGACTTTTAATTTTGCTAGGGTTTTTCCTGTGTGGAGCAGGCAGATGCTGTAAGGTTTGCCATGTACAGAATCATGTGGTATAGAACAAGGATGACGTTACCTTTCCTCCCAAGCGTATTGCTTTTATTTCTGTTTCTTGCTACATGGACTTTCCAAGACAGTGTTGAGTAGAAATGGTAAGAACAGAGTCAGGCATGGTGCCACTTGCCTGTAATCGCAGCGTTTGGGAGGTTGAGGTAGGAGGATCACAAGTTTCAGGCCAGCCTGGGCTACATAAGGGAGCTCAAGGCCACCCTGAACTACACAGCAAGACCCTCTCTCAAAAAAACAGAAAAGAAAAGAGAAAAAGAAAGAAATGGTAAGAACAAAATATTTGCCTTTGGAAATCTTAGTGAAAACCTCTTCGGTGTTTCTCCATTAAGCTTGATGCTAGCTATAAACTGTTTATAAATCCCTTTTTTTTTTTTTTTTGTCTTTTTGAGACGGGGGTCTCACTATGCAGTTGAGGCTGGCCTTGAGCTCACTTTGTAGTCCAAGTCTTAAACTTGCAACAATCCTCCTGCCTCAGCCTCCCAAATGCTAGGATTACAGGTGTGAGCCACCATGCCCAGCTATAAATGCCTTTTAGAAGTTATCCTCTGTTCCTAGCTTGTTGAATATTTTATGTGTGCATTTTGTTTTTGTTTGTTTGAAACAGGATCTCCGTATGTAGCTCATGCTAGTTTCAAATTCACCAGGTAGCACAGGCTCACCTCAAATTCATAATCCTCCTGTCTCAGCCTCCCCAGTGCTGGGATTACAGGCATGTGCCACCTCCCCAGCCTTGAAATTTTTTTTCCCCCTGTATTTACATGAGATTATTTTAACTTTTATGTTTCTGTACATTAATATAATTACAATTGATATCTGAATGTTAAATTAATCTTAAATTTCTAGAATAAACCCTTTTGGTCATGATGTTTTACTTTCTTTATATATAACTAATTCAATTCAGTAACATTTTGTTAAGGATTTCTATGACCAGGAAGGATATTGGCCTTTTTAAAAAAAAATTTCTTTTCTGATTTTGGTATTGGATTTATGCTGACCTCATAAAATATTTTGGGAAATGGTCTTTCTTCCTCTATGTTCTAAGAAGTTTGTGTAAGACTGGCATTATTTATTCCTTAAATATTAAATATAACTCATCTGTAAAACTATTTGAGCTGACCTAGAGTTAATCTTTGATATAATTTTTAAAATTTTCAGATTTGATTTTTCTTTCTCTCTCTCTCTCTCTCTCTGTCTCTCTCTCTCTCTCTCTTTTCTTTCCTTCCTTCCTTTCTTCCTTCCTTCCTTCCTTCCTTTCTTCCTTTCTTCCTTCCTTCCTTTTTCTGTTTTTGTTGGGACAGGTCTGTCAGGCTGGCCTCAAACTTGCCATATGGCACAGTGTTATGGGTTATATGAGGATAGTCCTCTCTAAAACTGCATGTGCTTCTAGGGCAGGATGTTGGGAGTGACTGGGTCGTGGGTGTGTGATCCTTGACACTCTACTGATTGGCTTAGCACAGTCCTATGTGTGGATGATGGATTTGCTGACGAGGAAAGCCCATCCTGGATGTGGGTGGCCCCAACCAATAGGCTGATAGCCTGGACGGAATGAAAAGGGAAAGAAGGAAGCTCACTGCTTCCTTCCCACCATGCCGTGGACTGTTTCTGCCTGCCGTCCCCTTCTGCCATGCTGGCCTGTCTGAACCAGTTTACTATGGACTGACCTTTACAAACCGTGAGCTAAAATAAACTTGTGGGTGTTGAGTATTTCATCCAAGCAACTAAGAGAACCCAGGTGTTATCTCAATCTCTTCTTTATTCATTAAAAAAATTATTTAGTTATTTTTTATGATTTTTTTAATTAAGGGGAAAAATAAAAAAAATAGCAGGATATATTATAGTAACTTATTTGATTTCCTATTAACTTGATTTGAAGTCCTGTAATACTCCCACTATCTTGTTTTGACTGATTAGATTCTGTTCCATTCTGTATGATAGTATCAATTTTGAAGGTATAGGCAACTACTTTGAAGGCAATAAGATTCACTATGATGCCCATTCTAGTTTGACTATTATCTTCTTTGGAAGTCCTGTAGTGTTTACAAGGTTTAGGTTTTATTGGTCTTGTTCTCTACTGTTTTGTTCAACTTTATAATACCTAATGAGATAGACAGTTCTTTTTTAAGGAAGCAAGAGGCATTATGGTAACCATTGTAGATAACCTTGTACTCTGTTTTTACATCATGTGCTATGTCTGTCCTTGGTTTTGACTGACAGCTTTGTTTTGCCATATTTGACTTTATTTTCTTCCAAAAAAAAAAGTAATAAGAACTAAGGAGTAATAAAACCCAAAATGTGTAAATTTTGTTGTAAAAAAGAGAGGGAAAAAAAAGTGTTCTAAAGTATACAACTGCAAGTGTGTTTAGGGGTGTTAAATAGATGCCCATATTAATGTTTTTGGTTGGATCATTGAACACAACTGTTCGCAGTCTCACTGTTTGAATGTCCACTTTGTATGCTTTGATACTGTGACTTGAGCAACTGTCTCTAGGATGATAATTGTAATCTATTAACTGGTGATTTCTTACTGTTTTTTTTTTTTTTTTGTAGTTCTGTATTAATTGTACCCTTACACTGCTTTGTTTTGTTTTGTTTTTTCTCTTTTTCCTTTTAAATAAAATTTAAAAAAAAAAGAGAGAGAACCCAGGTGGACCTCAAATTCATGCTCCTCCTCCAATATGTGACATTATTAAAACCGCAAGTTATTCAAATATGATGAGTGCATAGTGGCATCTTATTGTGGTCTTAATTTGCAACTCCCTGATTTCTAGTGAGGTTGAGCTCCTTTTCATAACCAATTGATAATCAGTTTCCAACTTTTTTTTTTTTTTAGTTTCCAACGTTTTAATTATTATTTTTAAAGCTCTTGGCATATTTTAATTTTCTATGAGTTTCCTACTATGCATTCATCACTCATTTTTTTCCTAGTACTTTTTTTGAGACAGGGTCTCACTTTATAGTGCAAATTGGCCTTGAACTCACTATGTAGTCCAACCTAGCCTCAAATTCTTGGCAATCCTCCTGCCTCAGCCTTCTAAGCACTGGGATTACAAGCAAGTGCCACCACATCTGGCTTTATAGCACTTCTTACCTTCCATCTGGGCTCTCTGTCTGTCGGTCTGTCTATCTGTTGGTCTGTCTGTTTCTCTGTATGTGCGTGCATATGCATATGTATGTGTGGTACTCAGGATTGAGGCCAGGACCTTTGTACTTAGCTATATTCCCAGCCTAGTTTTTAATTTTAAATTTTGAGACAGGATCCCATGATGTTATTAAGGTGGCCAGGCTGGGTTTGAACTTGAGATCCTCCTGCCTCAGTCTCCCAGAGTGCTAGGATTAGTGGCCTGAACCATCAGGCCAAGCCTGGACTCTTTCTTTTTTTCTTTCTGCCTGAATTCTGATAACAGTATACTCTTGCAGTTTTTGTTTGATGATGTCTATCTTTGATTTTCTTCTATTTTATTTTTTGAGATGGGGTCTTGTTACGTTGTCCAGACTAGCTTCAAGCTCTCAGATTCAGGCGCTCCCCCTGCTTCACACCCTGAGTGTGTATCTGGGCCCCAGGCTTCCCCTGTGCATGCATGTGTGTGTGTGTGTGTGTGTGTGTGTGTGTGTGTGTGTGTGTGTGGTACTGAGGATTGAACTCAGGGGTTTCACACTGAGCTGTTCCCCCAGCTCTTTTTAATTTTTAATTTTGAGACAGGGTCTTGCTAAATTGCCCAGGCTGGGCTCACACTTGTGGTCTTCCTGCCTCGGCCTTTCAGAGTGCTGGGATTAGGGGCCTGCACCACGGCTCCTGGCTCTCTGTCATTGTTTTTTGTTTTGTTTTGTTTTTTAATCGGTACCGGGGATCAAACTCACAACTGCGTGCTTGCAAGGCAGGCACTTATGCTGCTGAGCTAAATCCCCAGCCCCCATCTCTGTCATTCTTGAAGGAGTTTTTTCCCTGAGCGCAGACTTCTAGGCTGGCCACTGTTTTTGTTTAGCACACTGCAGATGATCTTTCTGTTGTCTTTCACTGCTGCTCTTGACATGGTAGGGCTCAGACTTCTTCACTCCTTTGAAGATAATCTGTATTTTTTCCTGGGAGATTTTAAGATTTTCGCTTTGTCCTTGGTATTCTGCTGTTTCACCATGGAATGTATTGGTGAAATTTAAAAGAAAAAAAATAACATTTTATTTTTTAGAGTGATTTTAGGTTCAGTGATGAACCATTATAGCACCGTAAAAAACAGTTTCACAGTTCTAAAAGTTTCCTTAGCTCACCTATCCATGTTCCTTGCCCTAAGCCCTGGCGACCACTGGCATTGTTATCATTTCCAAGGTTTCACCTTTTCCACAGTGCCATAGCGGGGGGCACATAGCACGTAGGTTTTTCGGAGCCTGATTTTTTTTTTTTTTTTTTTTTTGTACCAGGGATTGAATTTACGACCTCACGTTTGCCAAGCAGGCACTTACGCCGCTGAGCTAAACCCCTGGCCCATCTGAGCCTAATTTTTAAAAATTGTGTCTGAGTTAGGATTTTTTTGGCTTTATGAATCTATAGATCAATGTCTAATCAGACCTGGGAATTTTTCAGCTACTGGTTTTTCAAATATCACTTTTTCACTGTGTATTATTTTATCTGTTTTTATTTCAGTCAAAGAAATGGTAAATGCTTATTGTCATTGATTTTTCCATTTTTTAAAATCATTTCTTCTGTATTTTTTACACTTTCTGTCTCCTCATGGTCATTCCAGATCATTTTTTCTGACTTTCAAATTGCCAATTCTTTTTTAAGCTATGCCCAGTCTGATATAAACTTGCATTTTACTTTTAATTACTGTATTATTCAATTCTAGAAGTTCAGATTTGCCTTTTTTCAAATCCATGGTCACTTTTTATGGTCCCCGGTTTGAGCTAATCTTTTGTTTCAGTGTATCTGTTGTATATTCTATGTAAAAATAATTCCAGTGTTTAAATTCTTTCTGGGTTGGTCTTTGTTATCTCCTGTCTCTTCTGGTTCTTGTCATGGAGTTTTGTTTCCTGTGCTTGACTGTCTTTTACCATGTGCTTGCGTTGTGCTTGAGATTTTATTTATATGACTAATGTGGAATCTAGGTTCAGGACATCTCCCTTGAAAGATTTCCATTTGGTTCTCTCAGGAGCCCAAAGCATAACTGATCTCAGGTCACCTCCATGCAAGTTCAAGGCTTGAGGGGGCTGAGGACTTAGCTCAGCGGCATAAGCGCCTACTTTGCAAGCACGCAGTCGTGAGTTTGAGCCCTGGTATGGATTAAAAAAAAAAAAAGTTCAAAGTTTGAGATTACAAAGCGCCCAGGGGACATGAGATGGGGTTGCAAGATGTGCTGGGGCTGATTTACCTCCAAGGGTATGGCTGTCCAGGGTTCCAGCTTGTTGTTGGGAGGGCCTTCCACTCCACCTCCCACTTTGTGCTCTGAACTTTATTTGTGCTCCTTGCCTGGAGGAATCATGAAAACAACAGCTTGACACTAGTCAGAATGAGGAAATGTCCCCAGAGCATGAATTCCCTGCTTGGTTTATTCTAAATTACTGTTGTTCCATTAGTTTTGTTCTGATAACCCCTTATCCCTGGTTATACTGGTATCCCAGCACTTTTTAAAAAATTGTTTTCAGTAGAATTGTTTTAGAAGCCTACCAGATATCAGACTCCACTTTACAGGACCAGAAACTGTGCCTGTAATCCCAGCTCTTCAGGAGGCTGAGGCTAGATGACTGCAATTGCAGGCCTAAGGCTGGTCTGAGTCACTTAGTGAGACCTGTCTCAAAATACAGTGAGAAGGGCTGAAGCTGTAACTCAGTGGTAAAGCACTTACCTAGCGTGTACGAGACCCTGGGGCCAATTCTCAGTGGATAGGTGAGGCCACTTGTCTGGAATCTTATACCAGTGAGAAACAGAGCCAGGCTGCAAACTGTGAGGGCTGTTTTAGACCAAATTTGGTCTCCTCCTTCCCTGGCACTACTCTCTTGAGACTTGTTTTCTCCCTCTGTAAAAAAGTCAGACCAGATGTGGGCCCCTGAGAGCCCACTGAGATCAGACATTTTCAGGCTAGGACTTCATGGCTTTTCAATTTCCTGAGACCACTCAACCTCCTGCTTACCTTGGGTTCAGGGATTTGCTCTGCGACCTGATGTGGGGGTGCCCAGACACGGAGAAGTCTTAGATCACCACCAGGGGGCAGTGGTGCCCAGATTCTGCGATGCCAGCACAGCCCAGGCCTTTGGGCTGCTTCTCGCTGTCAGAAGTAAAGAGAATGTGATTTAGCTTAGAAGTCAAAGTCTCCTTTCCCGTCTGCTTCATTTCATTCGTCTGACTCTGGCTGATGTCTCCTCTGGCACAGAGGAGGGGAGCACAGAAATAAGTCAAACCCTGGTTTTAGCCTCAAGAACCTGTGCTTCATTCAACCTTTGCCAGTCTGGGTCCTGGTTGTTTTTCCCTCTTCCCTGTTCACACACACACACACACACACACACACACACACACACACACACACACGACTCCCCTTCCCCTACACTGCCCTTGCGTACTCCCTCCTCCTGAGGACTCAGCTCCTCCCTAGAGCGTCTCCAGAAACTGCCCCCACCATACACACTGTACCCTCAGCCTGGTTCTTCAGGCTCACCTGGCCATGTGCTTACCTGCACTTCTAGATCGGATGCCCCTCAAGCAGGGCAGCGTCCTCTCAACTTTGGGTACCCCGTATAATGAGGGCTGGAGGAAGGGAAGGAGGCTGGCAGGGCCAGAGGTGACTGGCAGGCCAGCAACAGCAACCAGGGGGCACCACCAGGGCCCCTTCTTTCTCTCCCCGAGACACCAAACCTCTTGGGGTCCAGCTTTGTACTCCCTGCAGAGAAAATGAGAAAATTCCAGCTTCAGGGGCCAGTGAATAAAAAGATGGAACCATAAAAGCTCTAGAACAAAACATAGGAGAGTCTTGGATTTCTTCCAGAGTTGGAAAGAACTTTCTTACTCCTCAAAGCAAGAAGCCACAAAGAAAGAGAAACAGAAATGGCTCTTACGCTTTTGAAGAAATGATCAGCCTTACTCATCGGAAGGTAGTCCCAAATTAAAAATACACTGACATTCAATTTAGCTCCTATCAGATTGGCTGAAAGCCAATAGCTCGATAGCTTTCTTTAAGCAACACAAGGGAAGGCAGGCTTGTGCATCACTGCTGGAGAGGAGCTCCTTGGGCACTCCCCGGGGGGGACAATACATTTCTGAATTGCAAAGAACTAAGCCTTGCCCACACTTCAGTTTTGCAGGACTATGCTCCATGATATCGGAGTGTGGGCTGTAGACTGAGCTCTTCACTGGGTGTTGTTTTAAGCTGCTTAGTTCATCGTACTCTGTTATGTAGCAATGGAAAACTAATATACTTGCAATTCACTTTTAGAAATTTATTCTGTGATAAGTTTTATGTATGCACACATATACAATGATGCATGTACATGACTGTTCACTGCAGCACTGTTTGTGATACTAAAGCAAAATAAGAGAAAACAAAGAATCCCCCAGGGCTGGGGTTGTAGCTCACAGGTGAGAGTGCATGTGGGCTGGGGTTGTAGCTCACAGGTGGGAGTGCATGTGGGCTGGGGTTGTAGCTCACAGGTGGGAGTGCATGTTTAGCTTGCCTCAGCCCCTGCATGCTGCCCTAGCACCATAGAAACAAGGAAAGCAACAAATAGAAACAACACAGAAGTCCGAGCATAGGGAACTGGTTAAATGAAATTTTTTCAACCTGTATATAGGATGTTATGCAGTAATCTAAAAGAACCAGGAAACTGTCTTATGACTGAGGAAAATATGTGATGAGTTTTTTAAAAAGGGATACAGCACAGTGTAGCTTTTTTTTTTTTTTTTTTTTTTTGGTCTTTTTCCTTTTTATCGGTACCGGGGATCGAACTCACAACTGCCTGCTTGCAAGGCAGGCGCTTATGCCGCTGAGCTAAATCCCCAGCCCCAACAGTGTCGCTTTTATATAAAAAGAGGTGTTAAAAATATACAGTAATTTCGTACTTGTATAAAAACTCTGAAAGAGTACAGGAGATGCTAATAAAAACTGACCTGTAGCAGATGGGAACAAGCTACAAGGGGCAGTGAAGCTGAGAGAGCGGGAGAATTTTTTACTGTTGTTTTATGGATGCATGTTTTGAACCAGAAGAACATATTAGTGGATTAAAAATCAAATGGCAAGGGTCTGGGGATTTAGCTCAGTGGCATAAGCACCTGCCTTGCAAGCAGGCAGTCTTGAGTTCGATCCCTGGTACCGATAAAAAGTTTAAAAAAATCAAATGGCAGCGGTTGCTCTATAACCAACTACCCTCCTGCCTTCTTCCTGGCCTGAGCCTGTTCCCTCACCTTGGGCAGGAAGGTTGATTCCTTCGCAAAGTCCTTTGACTGCTGGTCTTTGATCCCCTCTGAACTAGGAGTCCTAGAAAGAAGGATTCACGTGGCTGTGTGTGGGCAGGTCTTGTCTGTGGGACTCAGTTTCTACCTCTGAAATGTACCTGTTAATGTCCCACAAGGTCACTGGGGTTGAAATAGCTAAGAGGTGCCCAGGGTACAGGAAAGACCATTCCATGCAGAGGAACAGAAGGGCACTGTCGAGCACGTGGTAGATGGACAGGAGATGACGAGGACAGCTCCCTGTGCCTCCTGCCCATGTGCCTGTGCCCCCCCCCCTTCTAGGCCTCTGTTCTACCACCTGCAAATGGGAGGCTTGGACTGAATGAACTCTTGAATTAACAGGAGTTTAAAACCCTCAGTGACCACAGAGGACACGTTCTCATCTAAGATATGGTTAGCGAGGCCCAGGCGGGGCGGTGCCTTGCTCAAGGTCATGCCACAGCACATCACAACCAAGCCAAGGTTGGCACTGAGGAGCTCTGATGCACAGGCAGGCCCTTGACCTGCCCGCCTCCTTCTGCCAAAACACATCTGTGTCCAATCAACCATGCAGTGACAGTGACCAGGGGAGACACTCTGCCAGCTCTGGACACTTCTCCCAGCTGCTGCTCCCAGGTAGATACCACCTGAGCTCTCCCTGCTAGGAGGGAGGAGGGTCAGGAATGTGCCACTGGTGTGTTGCAGAGGGCAAAGGATGGTGAGGGCTAGGGCTTCTGAGGGTCCTTCTGGTCTCACTTGAAGTTCCCCACCTGCTTTTCTACCTAGAGGAAATCACCACCCTGCCCTGGACTAGAGTAGGGGCAGCGGGAGTGGGGGGTTCTGACCACTCCTAAATACTCACATGCTCTACTACACCTCATAATTACCTTGTCTCATAAGACCCTCAGGATTCTGGACCGTGCACATATCCTGCCCCTGTTTAGTTAGTGTGGAGCTGGATTTGGATGTCTATCAGAGCCATGCACTGACAGAGGCATTTGAGTGCTTCTCTAAGCGATCACACTGGTTCTGTTCCCAACAAGGAAATGGTCTTTCTATATCCCCTCCAAGCTCTGTGCCTGCACAGGCTCCTGAGGGACCTGAGGCTGTTGGCCACTGCTCGAACGGATGGGCACAGAGCATACAGAGACCATGTGGGTGCAAGCGGGCGTGCGCAGATTCCAGACTGGCTGCTCTAATCCTGTTTTGACTGGCTTAATCTGGTTTTAGTGCAATTGGACTTTAGAAGTCTACTATACCCATTCATGCTAATTTCAGATGGTTTTCACTGGTGGGCTGTGAATAGTGAGTCTGCTTGACTATTCAGAGTTCATGTCTGTCTGGATCTGTGTAGTTTTAATAATGGCAGATGCTTATTTTGTGCATCAGGGATGTTGGTATTGTCCATTCCAGTACCCTGAGTCTATAAACTCAAAAAAATTCTCACAACTTCCCTGTAGGGGGCACTGTTCATTTTACAAGTGGAGAAACTGAGGCAGGGAGCTTCAAGAAATGTGCCCTCCTGGGTTGCATTGCTGCTTAGTGGGTTTAAACCCGCTTCATCTGTCTCTGGAGTCTGTGCTCCTAACCCGCATGGGAGTCTGTTCACTGCAGAAGCTCTGCTTTGGCTCACATGGGCTGCTTTGTGCTGGGCCGCTCTGCCCTGGCTGTGACTTGGGCACCCTGCAGTAGACACACGGGGTCACGGGCCACGTACATCCCTGAAACAGAAGATTACTGAGCTGGTTCCCTTGGGATCCTGGAACAAATTCCCCCAACTTGGCTGCTTATCACAAGCAAAATCTGTTTTCTCCTAGTTAATGGGAGGCCAGCAGTCCCAAGACTGAATGTCTCTGCAGGACTGCGTTTCCTCTCACAGCCCCGTGGGAGAGTCCATTCCTTGTCTCTGTCTGCTTTGGGTGCCTCTGGGTGTTCTTTGACTTGAGGATGCAGAACATTCAGCCTCTGCCTCTGTGACCACTGCCACTTCCTCTTCCATCTATGTCCTCTGTGAGTCTCCCTGGACAATCATCAGTGGACTCAGGACCTGGTTAGATAATCCAGGACAATCGCCTCATCTCCAGGGCCTTAATTACACCTGTAAGGACTCTTCTCCAAATAAGGTCACATTCATGGCTTCCCAGAGTCAGGACATGGGCAGTCCTTGGAAAGCCTCCGTTGGACTGATTTGACCCTTTAGGTCACACCAGGGGATTTTCCATGAGGACCCAGATGCTGGAACATGAGGAAGTGAGTTTTTTCACTGGGCTGGTGTTTACCCCACCATTGTAGGGATCAAAAGTGAAAGTTTTTGTAAGACATGCTTGTGGCTATGGGGTGGCCCCTTGGATCTTTGGGACTCTTTTATTTATTAATATTTGTGGTTATAGTGATCAAGACTTCCGGGAAACGCCAAGTGAGATGTGGAAATTTTCCTGTACACAGTCAGTTGGGGACAGCGGTTCCAAAGATGATCTTGGCTAAGCTGAGTGCTCCCAGCAGCATTCTCAAGAAGGTGATGCTGATTGAAGGGCAGCAGAAATGAAGAATTAGGAGTCTTCTCTTGGAGTAATGAAAGAACTAGTGATCTAACCATAGAGATGTACAATTGGCGATTTAAGAAGCAAACTGGCTTCAAGGAAACAATACCCAGAGGCTCTTTGGGTTCCGCTGTCTGCCGGCACCATGGTGCTAAAATCTGATGGGCCGGGGAAAGCAAGATGTTTCTCTCTCCTGCATTTCCCCATTTTCAGCTATCACTGGTGACCTCAGACACTCCTAAGTGAGCGCGAACTTTGTCCTGAGACCTCTATGGCTGTTGCAGAGGCAGCTGCGCGGTTGAGCTGGAGGGAGGGAGTGGTGAGGACAAACTCCTGCTCTGTCCCCAGCAGCTGTGTGACTTCTGGCAAGCCAGAGAGTCTTTCTGAGCCTTGACTTTCTAATGTGGAAGGTGGCACTAAAAGGATTAGCGGGGATAAGGGCTGTGTTTAGTACCTGCTCTGTGCAATAGATATTGGGGTCATTATGAATTCAAGGTCAGCACTGTCAGTTTCTCTAAAGGCCTTGAGAGTGATAATGGCTTCGTGCCCAAGCCATGGTCCTGTATCTCTTCCTCTTCCAGCCTCACTTTGGCTTCCTCTCTTGGGTGATCACCCTGCTGCTCTCTGATACCAGCTCCAGCCTCCTGTGGACTCCCAGCCTTCTGGCCACAATGACATTTGTGGGGTTCCTGCAACTCATCTCTCCTCCTTTTTCCTCGGGGCTAGGATTAAACTCAAGGCCTCTCCTAGGCATACCCTCTACCACTGAGTTACACCCCAGCCCCCTTCCTCCTCCTGGAAACACCTTGTTCAGGTGACTTTTTTTTTTTAAGGGTGTGGTACTGGGGATTGAACCCATGGCTTTCTCACTGAGCTCCAGCCCCATCCCTTTTTTACTTTGCAACAGGATCTCACTAAATTACTAATTTGCCTAAGCTGGACTTGAACTTTCAGTCCTCCTGTCTCAGCCTCCCAGAATGCTGAGGTTACAGGCATGTAGCCCCAAGCCTGGCCTTCCACTTCTATAAGCTGAACTCACCTGGTTTTCTCTTTACCTGCCACTCCTGCTCTGTTTACTTCACGACTCCTTCCTTACTGCCAGATTTAGGTAGAAATAGGAGCCGGCTATGTGGCCCAGTCTGGCCTTCAGTCCCCGAGAGCAAGTGATCTTCCTGCCTTCACCTCCAGAGCAGGTAGACTTACAGATGTGTGCCACTGCGCTCTGCTGGAGCAGAGGTTTGCAGCCATCTTTACTTGCCAGGCTAGAAACCCAGCAACCTTCTGGGATTTCTCCTCCCTTCCACAATATGCACTAAATGGGTCCACTTGCGATGGCCACCATCGCCAGCCAGGTTCAGACCTAAGCACAACTGGCCTGAGTGACACCTTGGCCTCTGTGAATCCACTCTTACTCTGCAGTCATCTGCTCTGAAGCTCAGCCAGAGGAAACTTTCGCCCATGTAAATCAGACTATTTCACTCTCACATTTAAATCTCCTCAGTGACAGAAGATGATTCCAGCTCCTTCTTGCAGCCTGAGGGGCCTGCAGGAGGCTTCCTCCTCCCAGGTACCTGCTGCTCCTCCACCCCCTCCCTCCTGGAGTTCAGCCCCTGTGGCCACGTACGACTCCATGTGTTTGTGCTCTGTGGCTGTCTCCATAGCATTTCACATTTTAGAATGACCTTCTGATCTCATTTGTGTTCGGTTCTGTGTCTGTCTTCCTATGAGATGGGACACTTTCCAGTCATGGAAACTGTGTCTGTTTGCTTTAACCCTAAGCACTCTGCACCCAGCACAGAGCATGGCATGCAGCTAATGTCTAAAAAAATAGTTGTCCAATGAATGAAAAAAGTCAAAGCATACAGCATGGCATGGCATGGCACAGCATACCTCCACCTGGCCTGGGATCTTATCTCCCACATGCTCTGGCCTGCTCTGGCAGCACAGCGTTCTTTAACTTTGTGGGTGTTTTGTATAAAACAATCCAAGGGCCCAGGGGAGCCCAGCACATCACAGTGTGGCCCCAGAGCTCCTAGCTCTGAGTGTGTCCAGCCAACGCAGGGAGCCACATGGAACTCCTGGTCCTACCTGGATCAGGGACCCAGGCATCTGAACCCAGTGTAGCACTGGGTCCTTAGCTAGGGGCTCAGGAGCACAACTGCCCTGCTCAGCTTCTGGAGACAGCTTCATCCTGGGTGCCCAGAGTGGCTGGAGGATTTCAGCACAGGAGCAGCCTCGGGTCCCTGGGAAAAGGGGAGGAGGCCTGGTGTCCTCAGTTGGGTCCTGGCTTCCCCTGCCCCATAGCAAAAAAAGCACCCCAGAGAGCTTCTGGGAGCCTCTGGGTATGGATGGGAAACCAAGACCCAGAGACAGGCAGTGCTGCCTAGGGTCCTGCGTGAAGGACGCAGTCACCGTGGAGACTCAGGCCACCTGCCTCTAGAAGACTCTTGGCAAAGTCCTTCTGGTGACCCAGGCCTGTTGCTCGGTCCTGAGCCTTTGGACAAGGCCCACTTCCGGAGAAGAGATAGAGAACGAGTCACCAGGAGGGAGGGGTCCATGGAAAAGGAAAGTGAGGTGTCCAGTACCCCCGGGCCCTGCCCTTTCCTCTGCTTCTTGGTCAAGGAACCCAGTGAGTCACGCAATTCCGCCGAAGCAGGCTTGGCGCCAAGCGCCTGGCTCTGCTGCCTCCTGTGTAGAAAGACAGCCAAGGAGAAGCAGACAGACCAACCCCCAGACAGACCAGGCACTCACTGGCATGGGCACACAGACATCCAGGAGACAGGTGAACACATGCAAGAACAGCCCTACAGCCACACAGAGACACACAGGCAACACTCACAGGCATGACTGACAGAGACAACATCTCTACAGCCACACAGGCACAGGACACAGGTCCATGGCAGGCAGACAGGTAGATGGCAGACAAGCAGACACAGACCAGCACCACAGGACCAGCCCCAGGACACAAAGTGTCCAAACACACGTCCACAGGCGCGTGGCAGACAGGACAAACAGACATAGACTGACAGCCACTGGAGCAAAAACACCCCTCACCCAGCTACCTGGACACACACACAATACAACACAGACTCACACAGGCAGCCCACGGGGCGATGCTGAGCAAAAGAGGGTTCCTGCCCCTGAAAGTGATCTGTGAAAGCTGGCACTTGAGCGAATCCCAAAGGCAGCCTCTGCCCTCCTGGAAAGAACATGACACAGACCAAGTCCTTAGGGACTCACCTTGCAGCAGGAGGAATGGAGGTCAGATAGGGAAAGGGACTTCCCAACCTGGAGGGTGCTGAGACTCGCAGTGGGTGCCTAAGGGTGACTATGATAGAGGAGTCGGTCAGTAGCGAGTAGGGAGCCTGTATTCTGTCTGGCCTACCTTGGATAAGTCTGTTCTTTTGAACCTCAGTTTCTCTTTCAGGCTTCGTCCTCTCAGATCTCTGCAAGAGCAGATGGGTAGCCCATGGGCATGTAATTGCCAACGCTGGAGCCCCAGAGCATTCCCGCTCTGGCCCTGCCACCAGGACAGGACATCCTTGATGACTCAGCCCTGATGCCCCCTAGCAGGGGGTAACCCAGCCACAAGTGCCCATTGTCCCAGTCTCTCCTCTCTGCCAGGGGCTGGCCAGCTCAGGGTGCCAGGGTGGAAGAGGGTATAGGGAGGTTGGTCAGAGGGGAAGGAGCCCCAGTGCTTCCCTGGGGGGTGTGGAGATTTGGATCTGTCCAGGTACAGTCTCTTCCTCCCTGTCCCACACAGTCCTCTGGCCTGGACCCAACCTGTCGGAAGGGGGCCGTTGCACAATGGGGTAAAAGGTGACGGCAGGCAGGCCTGGCAGGACAGAAGCCTCGTTGTTCAGTGCCCATGCCAGCCTGGGCAAAGGAAGGGTTAGGCCTGGAGGCAGGAAGAGGGGCTCTGCAGGGGGTGCCAGCTGGCAGGGTTCACGCCTTCAGGCCCTTGGAAGGGACAGGTGCCAAGGAGGATGGTCCATGTGTTCCACGGGGTGGCGGTGCTTGGCAAGGTACCCTAGCGGAACCCAAGAGAGGCTACGAGGTGCAAAGCCACCCCACCCCACACCTGTCTCCTGGAGATGAGTCTCCAGGGCGCCTCCAGGTTCCTCCTCCTCCTCCTCCTCAGGATTCCAAGCATTCCCAAGGGCTGAGGTACTTTGGGGTGGCCTCAAACCTGGGGTCACTGTGAAGAGGGGAGCATGGGTATGTTTCTTATGGAGTGGCCACAGGTAGGCTTAGATACCCCCCACCATCCTCCGGATCATGCCCAAAACTGAGCTGAGGGGCACCCTGTCTCTCTTTCTCTAGGAGAGCTGCTAACCCCTTGACAAAGCCCATGAAGAAGTCCCTCCTGGTGTCTGACCATGATCCTTCTTGCTTGAGTTGTAGGAATGGCTTTCACTGAGAAGTCTTGGGAGGACAATCAGCGCTCATGGTCCTCAGACTCGCCCACTCAGCTAGCCCGGGGCAGACGTGTTAGGGGCCACTCCAGGTGCAAACGAGCGGCTCCTCCCTCTCACAGCCAGAGACGGGGGCGGGCACAGCGATGGGGCGGTGCAAAAGCAGCCCCGCCCCGCACTCCTCACTCCTCACTTGATTTTTGTCGCAGGCAGGCAGTCACAGAGCCAGGAGGCGGAGGGCAGTCTGGGCCCAGCCCACACCCCTCACCAGGTAGGGACGCTCCGGCTCAGAGGGCAGAGGGTGTAGACAGCCAGAGAGGGAAGGGAGGAGGGGGCAGGCAGAGGCACCAGGACGCGTGCCAGAGACGCAGAGTAGAGAGGAGCAGAGGGGCACACAGGAAAGTGGGCAGAAGGAGACGGGAGGACTGGTCAGGAGGTGGCTGGGGGGTGGGTTATGGAGGCACAAATTTAAGGACACAGGACAGGTATGATGGAGGGGCAGAGGGACCTGGTATGGGAGGGAAGACCTTGGTCTGAAGGATGGGTGCTAGGTGGGAGCCCCGAGAATGCCACAGCCCCCGTTTCCTTGACAGTTCCTATTCAGGGCAGGGAGGGGCTCTATTTCTTGCCCAATCTCCTCCCCCGAGAAGCCAGGGCACACAGGCAGCCACTCCTGGACTGTGTCCTGCTGGGGACTGAGGAATCAAGCGCTGGACTCCGTGGGTTCTCAGTTCCAGGAAGTGGGGAGATGTGTCTTGCTGTACCGGGGAATCTCTGATGCCCACCACCTCTGACCCCTGACCTCCCTCTGGGGCCCAGGAGGCACCATGTGGCAATGTTCACTGGGGCTGCTGCTGCTGCTGTTTCTGCTGACTGGCCAGGTAGCCTTGGGTGCCCGGCGGGGCCGCTGGCGCCGGGAGCTGGCACCAGGGTTGCATCTGAGTGGCATCCGGGATGCGGACGGCCAGTATTGCAAGAAGCAGGGTATGTGCTGCACTGGCCGCATTGATGACTGCTCCCTGCCCTACCTGGGCACCACCTGTTACTGTGACTCCTTCTGCAACCGGAATGTCTCTGACTGCTGCCCTGACTTCTGGGACACCTGCCTTGGCGTGCCACCTCCTTTTCCCCCGATCCAAGGTAGGCACCAAGATGACCAATCTCGAGCTCAGCAAGGTGCCTGAGCAAGGTTGCTACTCAGGGATTTCTGGGGGAGGCTTTGTAGATTCTAGGAAAGACACAGCCCCACTTCCTATACTCCCCGGGAAGGCCCCCTGTGGTCTAACGACTCCTGAAAAACCGAAAGAGGAGTTCTGTGGTTGGGTTCTAAGTCGGCCCAAAGTGGGGGCAGCCAGCCTTCTGCCCTTTCTCCAGTTCCATCCCCATTCCAGATGTGCAGGGGGCTGGCCCCACCTGCCAACTCACCTCTGGACTGATAAAGCACATGGGGGTTGGCTGGGGCATCTTAGCCGCTCTTCTGTCTCTGCTCAGGAGTTGGTGCCCCGGGGTGAGTCATAGCTGGGAGGTGGTTTGAACTCCCTTCCTTACAGCCTTCTCCATGCACTTTTCTGTCTGATAGAAGCACGGTAAATCCTCCCACAGTTTGGTGGGGCTTTGGGCTAGGGAACTGCATCCTTGAGTGGCTATTCCTAAGCGCTCTGCTATCTTAGCGTCACTTGCCTTCTCTGAACCTTGACTTCCCATGCCCTTGCCATGCCCCATGTCCAAGCCTCAACTCATTTAAGTGGCAAAAGATCCCAGGAATGCTGTGGCTGGCATCCAAATTGGAGTCACTGAATAACTTGCCATGTAGCTGTTGGTATGTGAGACTGCAGGAGATGTCTTCATTTATAGCTTGGCTTAGTTTCCCTAAGTGTTAACGATGTAGCCTGGCTGCAGAGGACCTGACCATCGTCTCCTCCAAACCCGTCCCCTCACTTCTTGTCCTTTTTCCTCCCACCAGGATGTACGCATGGGGATCGCATCTACCCAGTCTTCGGGACGTACTGGGATAACTGTAACCGTTGGTGAGTGTTTGGGGCACAGAGGATGTTTTATGGTGGGCCTCCTGGCCAACGGACTTAGCTCAAATCCTATCCCTGCCACTCATTTACTAGAAACAAGTCCTATCCTCTTTGTGAGCCTCAGTTTCCTCATCTGTGACATGGGAATTTTCACACTGGGCATGTTCACTCACACAGGAGCATTCTGACAACATTCCTAATAGTGACAAGCCATGGCGGCCTCGTGCAGGTGCCACCCTTGAGCTGGGAGCCCTTCCTTGTCTCTCTTGGCTCAGCTAGGGCTGCTGAGGGCCCAACTGTTCTTGCTGTCACGGGAGAGTCCAAGAAGGGGACGCCAGGAAGGAAATCTCTGACTACAGCATCCGTTGCTTTGGGCCAGACAAGGGTCAGGGATAGCTGAGCTAGCAGCTGGCCATTCTGTTGCAGGGCCTTCCCTGGAATGCAGCCCCCCTTTGCCACTGTTTCCCACCATTCCTGGCAGGAAGAAGAGGGGGTCACGGGTACCTTCCACCCTCTGTCTGAGGTGGGAGGTGGAGAGGCTGTGGGTGGCAAGCTGAAGGCCTTCCTGGAAATATCAGGGTCCCTATGACTTGGAGAAAGATGCCCCGCACCCATTCTCCACCCAGTCCCTGCCTGGGATGGAGAGGCCCCAGGGACGGGAAACTTTTTGGAATGCATTGCCATAAGCTGTTTCCATTGCCTCACTGGGGTGAGGGGTGCCTGGGTCACAGCGCAGGGACACGTGTGTGCGGGTCAGCATGTGTCAGGGTGAGAGAATGTGCATGTGCACGGTGCGCGTGTTCAGAAGGGTAGGGCGTGCCTGCAGGATTGTGCAAGTCCTGACAGGGTGGACACTGAGGGGTTAACAGTCTCCCACTCCTGTCCCAGGCCCCTTCTGGAATGCTGAAACTTGCTGCCACCAGTCCTGTCTAGACCTGCTCAGGCAGCCCCGGGGCATAGGAGGTGGGGACCAGAAAGCACTGACCAACCCCTGCCTGCCCCTCAGGATGGCTCCGGGCCGTGTTCCCTGCACCCCCACACCTGAGAGAAGGTGGAGGCGTCACTGATGCATCTACCAACCCTGTGCGCACTCTAGGGATGCAGCCCGAGGGCCCCGGTAACCCTTGCTCAATGTGCCCGTGGGGAAAGTGAGGACAAGGAGTCTCCACACCTACGCAAACTCTCTGGGCCCTCTCTGAGCCACCCGCTCACTTGGGGCTGCAGAGCCAGCCATACTGGGGCTTGGCTCTCCTTAAGGCACCTTATAAGGCGACATTGGAGGCGGGTGCCTCAGGCTGGCCTGGAAGGAAGCAGTTTAGCATCTTGTAATAGCAGAGTTATGAGCTTGTAAAAGCATCGCAGAATGCATAGAATTCAAGCCCTTGGCCAACACCTAGTTATTAAGTCCTGCTGCATCTCAGGCACTGTGCGGGGCCCAGGAGTTGCAGCCAGAATACAACACACACAGTCCTGGTCCCATGGGAGCAAAGGACGTGGAAAGTCACAGATGTACCATGACATGCTGTTGTGGTGGGGAAGAGAACACAATGTGGATCCCAGTTTAGAATGGGGAGGAGACCACAAGAAGAGGGAAGGCCACTCTGAGGAAGGGACATTTATGCTGACACCTAGGAGTGAGTAGAGGACAGGACAGGTGCCTAGGCCCAAGCAAGGGCACAGCGTTTAGGAGGCGGGAGACAGGACAGGATCATTTCATTGGGAGCTGAGTGCACGGAGTAGCAGGGAGAGCGTGCGGAGGTGCGGCCATGGGTCACAGGGCGGCAGGGGCTTGTCCTGAGTGTTGCGGGAGCCCCTTGGAGAACGTGTGACTTGGCTAACCTTGCTCATTGCTTACTTCCGCTTTAGGGCAGGTGGGGATGCACTGTTGAGTGTGGTGGGGGATGAGAGAGAGACCTGATCAGGAAGCTTGTCCTGCCCAGGTGAGAGGGGAGGGGGACTGGAGAGAAAGCTGGTAGCGGAAGGGCGAAGCGACATGCCATGCCCAGGGCTGCCAATGGGATACCTGTGGGGCACACCACAAACCCCACGACACTCAGATCTGAATAGCTAGGTGCTGCATTCTGAGCTGAGGAGGGCCGGGGGACTAATTTAGATCTGTGACTATTTTACCTGTCCGGAGGTGCTGGGAAATCAGCTGGATATGAGTCTAAAGTTCAAGAGAGGGGGGCCTGGGGGTTCCTGTGACAGAACAATCTAGTGGAGAACAATTCTGAGCCCTGACAATGGGCCAGGCCTGTGCTGAGTGCTTCACCAGCCTGCCATGTAATCCCTGGAAAGCAGTACTATTATTAACTAGGACACTGAGGGAGGGAATTTAAATAACTTTCCTAAGGTCACATGACTAGTTAGCGAGGCTCAGAATCCAGGATCTGAACTCCAGAACCCGGGCTTTCACCACACTACCTCAGTCCTCCACCCACCCGTTCATCATTTATTCCACAAGTACGTACCAGGTAGCTCCGTGCGCTGCTGCTTGTTTTTATAGGCAGTTAAGATGCCAAACAGTACCTGCCTTCAAAGATGTAGAGTTTATGAGGAAACTGGCATACACAATATAAGTAAGAGGTGACACAGTAAGGAAACCACTAGGCCAGGAAAATGAGACAGAACACATGAGGAACGCCGAAGGAGGCTCCCTGGAAAGGGTGACATTTGAATGAACACTTGGCAGAAATGAAAATGAACCACGGGTGTGGGGCGTAGAGCAGCTCAAAGGCCCTGGGCCAGGGGTACAGCTGGTCTCCGCAGCCTTAAAATCCAGGGCTACAGCCAAGCGTGGTTCACGTCTGTAAGCCTGGCATGCTGGGAGGCTGAGGCAGGAGAATTAAAAGTTAAAGCACAATCTGGGCATCTTAGTGAGATTCTGTCTCAAAAAAAAAAAAGTCTAGGGGTGTAGCTCAGTGTGAAGAGCTTGGGCTCAATCTGCACTGCACTGCAAAAAATATCTAGGACTAGGAGGAAGAGGAGAAAGAACAGAAAGAGGAGGAAGAGGACGGGGTCACTCCAGAGGGCACAGGAGGACAGATCCTGAAGGGCTTGTCATCACCTCAGGACTTTGGCTCTTATTCTGTGACGTAAAACCAATGGAGAGTTTCAGGCAAAGGAATGGCATGATATGACTTAAGTTTAGCTGGATCACGCTGGTAGCCCTGTTATAAATATACCAGGGGGACATAGGGTAACACGGAGCAGATGCCCCCGAGCAACGAGGAGACTGAGCAGAGCTCCAGGTGAGAGGTGACTGGGCCGTGGTGGCAGCAGGAGAGAATGACACACAGTTTGGATTCTGGATATGTTTCTAAGGTGCATCCACAAGGATCTGCATGGGACAGAAAGTCAAGGGCCACGCCCAGTTTCTGGTCCGAGCCCCAGGAAGGATGCAGTTGCCGGCAGTGAGGGAGATTCGGAATAGGGTTTGGGGTACGTTATGTCTGATCTGGTGTTAGATACTCCCTAGTGATGCTAAGTGGCAGCACGATCCGTGACTTCGTTCAGGAAGAGATCTAAGCAGAGGAGGGGAGGAGGAAGTCACAAGCTTGAAGTTGACACTGAAAGCCACCAGGCTGAGGGAATTATCACGGTGCTGCCCCTTTGGTTGCTGGTACAGAATCCTACGCCCATTTTGTCTCTTCTGAGAGTTCCCAGGTCCCCACTTAGGCTTTCATTCCCTCCTTTTCTCGCCAGCACCTGCCAGGAGAAAAGACAGTGGGAGTGTGACAAGGAGCCATGCCTAGTGGACCCAGACATGATCAACGCCATCAACCAGGGTGACTACGGGTGAGACCCCCTGGCCACCCCCCAGCGGGCACTTGTGTACATACACACATGCGCTCTGCTGGAGATGCACGTCATGCTGGGCAACCCGCTCAGATTTTGTGTGTGTGTCTCCCACTCACACACGTAACCCTGGGACTTCTGGCAGGTCTGTGACTGCCCCGCCCCTTCTTCTTCAGGTGGCAGGCTGGGAACCACAGCGCCTTCTGGGGTATGACGCTGGATGAGGGCATCCGTTACCGCCTGGGCACCATCCGTCCATCTTCCTCTGTCATGAACATGAATGAGATTTATGTAAGTCCACCCTTGCCCACAAGCCTACCATTGCCTTTTCTTGGGGGATGTTGTCCCCTACTAAGAGACTGTGTGTCCCTGGAAAGATCATTCCCCTCTGGGCTTTGTTTCCTCTTTGTGATTAATAAGAAGAGACTCGCTAGACATGCTGAGCTCGGATTCTGAGCTCTGTAGTAATCCCAGCAGGCCCTCCGCCCTGCTCAGCCTGGGAAAAATGCTTCTGGCCCCAGTGCAGTTGGGTCAGGGCCCAAGGAGCCAGGAGGTCACCTTCATATTTTACGAAAAGAGGGACAGACACACTTCCAGCTTTGGCCAGAAAGCAGTAATTCTCAGGACAAATGCCAACTCAGCAAAACCCCCAGGGAAGACAGGGCTTATCCCTTCCCAGCAATGGGGCAGTGGGGATGGGAACCAGACCCGAACCATCAATGGGTAAGGAAGGGTGCTTGCTGCAGTGGAACTGGGCTGGGGGACATGCTGGAGGGTCTGCCCATCAGTGCCAGCCAGGAGAAAGACAGTGGCTGGCCCTCCCCATGGAAGGACTTCAGCCCAAGGCCAAGGTGACCAGCCCTAGCCCCTACCCTTACTCCCCTGGGCCTGTGGCTATTTTTTGTCTCCTGCTGTTTGTCTTGGCAGCCAGGCTGGTCACGAGACTTTACTGCCTTTTCCCTACCCTGCCCTTTGAGGCCCGAAGGCCAAGACCATGGTGGGGAGGAGGGTGTGGCAGATCAGGAGGTACAGAGGAAGGAGGCCAGAGTTGAGAATGGAAAGCCAAAGACTCTGGCTTGACCACATCCCTGTTGCTGCCTCTAGGAACCAGTTACCTCCTGATACTTGGGAGGCATTAAATGGTCTTGGTTCTTCTAGTCACATCTAATTTGGGGGTAGCTAGAACCCCACAGCAGCAGGTAGGCTGCAGAAGGCACTGGACTCCCAGGGGCCATCAATGCCTGGACTCCTGAGAGGCAGGCCAGGCCAGGCCAGGAGACAGTCAGGACCACCTTTGCCTTGCAGACAGTGCTGGCTCCAGGGGAGGTGCTACCCACAGCCTTCGAGGCTTCTGAGAAGTGGCCTAACCTGATCCATGAGCCGCTTGACCAGGGCAACTGTGCAGGCTCCTGGGCCTTCTCCACAGCAGGTATGTCTGGGCCTGGGCTGGCACAAGACGGGAAGAGAGCTAAAGCCCAGCCTCTGACAGCCTCTCTGTTTCCCCTATTAGCTGTGGCATCTGATCGAGTCTCAATCCACTCTATGGGACACATGACGCCTCTCCTGTCACCCCAGAACCTGCTGTCCTGTGACACCCTCCACCAGCAGGGGTGCCGCGGTGGGCACCTCGATGGTGCCTGGTGGTTCCTGCGCCGTCGAGGGTATGCAGCAGGGAGTGTGGGTGGGGAATGAGATAGGATGCCCTGTGGGTAGTGCTTGGGCTGTGTGGCACCACGTCACCATCCATGCTCCTTTCTGCTGCCTCCCCAGGGTTGTATCTGACCACTGCTATCCATTCTCTGGCCGTGAGCAGGCCGAGGCTGGCCCAGCACCCCCCTGCATGATGCACAGCCGGGCTATGGGCCGGGGTAAGCGCCAGGCCACTCGCCGCTGCCCCAATAGCCACACCGATGCTAATGACATCTACCAGGTCACTCCTGCCTACCGTCTGGGTTCTGATGTAAGTTTGCATATGGGCAAGGGGCAGAAGCAGAAGGTGGAGGGGTTGGTCAAAGGCTGGAGCCCCCCTCTAAATGGATGCCCTCCTGTCCATCCCCTCCCTCAGGAGAAGGAGATCATGAAAGAGCTGATGGAGAATGGTCCTGTCCAAGGTAAATGCTGCTTGTCCTGAGCCTGGCTCCAGAAGCACGTGCCTGTTTAAACTGGGCACAGTGGCCCACACGGGCTGTATAGCATTAAGCAGCAAGACCACTGGGCTGGGAGTATGGGAACTATGTCCCCTCCCTGCAGGGACCCAGGAGAGTCACAAAGGTGAGGTTCTGGCACACAGCCACAAGGCCAAGGGCTTGGCTGAGTATGCCCCACCCTGGTCTCTTGCCTGCAGCGCTCATGGAGGTGCACGAGGACTTCTTCCTGTACAAGGGCGGCATCTACAGCCACACACCCCTGAGCATGGCGAGGCCGGAGCAGTACAGACGGCACGGGACCCACTCAGTCAAGATTACAGGGTGAGGGGCCTGTGGGCAGACGTGCCTGGCAGCAGCAAGGCTTGCACTGGGGCCACGGAAACCTACTCTGAATCTATCATCTCTGCAAAGCCAGGACTGCTTTCTAATTTCCAAAGGAAGACTCTGAAAGAAGAAGGTGTGGCCCTGGATCGCACTGTGAATGGGGAACTACTGAAGGGCTTCTGGGAACAGTCCTTCCTCATACATGGGGACAGAATAACTCCAGAGAAACAGAGACAAGGATCCAAGAGTTGCTTAACCTCTTTCCATCTTGGCACCTGTCCCAACAGTGGCAGACTAACTGAGTGACCTGGGCAAGTCACTCCAAGCCCCTAGATGCCCCTCCAATACAGCAGGAGATGTTAGGGTCATTGCTGATGTTAGGAGTTTCTGACTGTTGTTAGCAGCCAGTGATACCTCCAACCGATAAGATATGCCTTCCAGTGGGGATTCGGGGCCCCTAAGGCATCCACATTTGCTAAGTTTTTTCCTTCTGGTCCCTATCACCCATACACTCTGGCTACCCGAGGTAGAGAGACAGAGAGAGAGATACAGAGAGAGACAGAGACAGAGACAGAGAGAAAGAGAGAGAAGGGAAAGGTATGTGAGTTCCCATCTCACAGGCCTAAGACCCCCTTCTTTTCCTTGCCCTTTGCTCCCTCTTGATGGGCTCAGGAATACAGATTTAGAGATGTAGGGACTGAGGCAGAGAAGTGAGGGACAGACTAGCCAGGTTACAGGATGCACTCAAGTTCCAAAAGCAACAAAGCCTGCACGGGGAGGCCTCAGGGTTCCAGCCCCCGAGAGCAGGTGCAATCAGTCCTCACCCTCCTCGCTCTGTCCTCAGGTGGGGAGAGGAGACGCTGCCTGATGGAAGGACGCTCAAATACTGGGTGAGTGCCTAGCAGCCAGGGCGCCCCGAGGCCTTGTCCCTTTTTTTTCCCCTTTCCTTCACCCCACTCGCATTCCCCTCCTCATGGGCCTCTCTTCATTCCCAGACTGCAGCCAACTCCTGGGGCCCGTCCTGGGGTGAGAGGGGCCACTTCCGCATCCTGCGTGGCAGCAACGAGTGTGACATCGAGAGTTTTGTGCTGGGGGTCTGGGGCCGCGTGGGCATGGAGGACATGGGTCATCGCTGAGGTGTGGGCACCAGGCCAAGCCAGGCCTGGCTGGTGGTCTCGGCAGAGAGCATGGTGGAAGAGCCCCCGGGTGGAGTGCCCAGGGTCAGACAGAGCCTGGGGTACGGGCGGCGCCAGCTCTAATCCCAGATCCGCTGACAAAGCGCTGGGCCTGGGAGCCGGCCTGGGAGTAGGGCCGGCAAGGCTGGCGGAGCTCTCAGACTTCCAGCGCGCCTGCAGCAGGGCCTGCCCAGGGAGGAGGAAGCTGCACATCCCTGGCCCTCCAGCCAACGACCCTGGAAGCCAGGCCCCCCCAGTCTCCAGGTGCACTCCCTCACCCCACTCCTGTATTCTTATTCTTCAAAGATATTTATTTTTCTTTTCACTATCTTAAAATAAAACCAAAGTATTGATAACTGCAGTATCTCGGACCCTCCAGGAGTGGAGGCCCAGGCCAGAATTAGACGGCAGACAGGACTGGCCGAGCTGTGGTTGGTTGGTAGGGATGGGTGGACTAGAATTCTTAGGTTCCATCCAGTCCTAACTGTCAGCTCCCAGGGCATTGACCTCTCTGGAGACAGGGCAGAGATGGCAAGGCCTTTGACCCCCAGAGAAATGTGGACCTTAGGAACCAACATTCAGACGCTGAGTCAGCTGCCCAAGGAGGACCCAATCCATCAATTAGCAGAACTGGCACCAGGTCCCAGGAGGCAGGGGGGACACCGCCCCACGGGGCCGGGCCCTCCGTCTCTGCAGGTCAGCATCTCCAAGCCACCCAGGCAAAGGGCTCTCACCTTCCCCATCTCCCAGGCCACGCTGTGCAGCCTGGGAGCCCTCTTCTCACTCCACCTGCCAGCCCTCAGACCTCAGCCTGGATTTCATGGTCCTCAGGACCTGTCCAGTGCCCAGGCAGCCCCTCAGATGGTCAGTGCATATGCAGACCACAGGAATTTTTACATGTGTCCTCGTTCAGATGCCCTTCTGTGCCACCACCCCATCCTATTTCAAATTCAGCTCTAGCACAAAGGACCCAAGATCCTCCAGACCACTCCAAACCACCCAGCCCCAAACACCCCCTCCTTCAGCTCATGTGGTGCTTTCCTCTCACCCAGTAAGTAGCTTACCTGAGTGTCTGCCTACCTCTCCTCTGAGCTGGAAGTTATGTGAGGGCAGGTTTGGGTCTGGTTCCTCAGTGGTTGCTGACCCCATGGGTTCCCCTGCTGTACGCTGGCTTTTCCGTGTGTGGAATGACTGAGGGACTCCAACCCATTTTTTCACCTGGTTGCCTTCCATAGGTTTAGCAGCCTGTGCTTCTAGGCATGATAGAGTAGGTAGTTGTCCAGAAATAAGCTGGAGCTGGGAAACGAGCAGCAGAGCCCTAAGCAGGATTCTAAGAAAGGCCATGGTCTAGATTTCCTGAGTCTGCAGCCCCCAAGCTTCCTGGAAGGAAGCCCTCCCCTTGCCAATTCCCCACCCTATCCAATCTTACAGTTTTTAATCCCATAGTCACACCTGGAGGCTTGGGCCTCAAGCTGGACCATGGCGACCTGGTTACCCTACTTAGGCCTCATTTACATATACACGAATGGCAGTGTTTTGACTTCCCTAATGGGCTGTGGCCACCATGCTTGTTCAGACTAAGACCATATAAGTTCAAAAAGACTCCCCTTCGCACACGGGGAGGAGACTCACAGCTGACTGGACAGAAGCTACCACTCCCTGCTATCCCCCTTCAGCTCTCCAAAAGTAAAAGAAGAGCCAACCCTGGACCTCCTGCTCCTTCTTGAGGCTGAGCTTTCATTGCTAACAGTTGTCACTTCTGCTCTGTCCACTTACAGCTCTCCCAAGTGTACTGTCCTTCCTTTTATAAAAGTTAGCCGTGTCTAGAGTGTATTATGTCTGTCCCCAATAAACATACTTGCTAGAAATCTTTACTTTCTTCCCGAGTCCTGTTTGCAAACCTCCCTGCCAAACTCGGGAAGCATCCAAGAGCCAACATCCCTGCAAGACGCAGCAGCACCCAGCCCAGGTTAAACTCAACATTTTGGTGACAGGCAGGTGCCACCTGGTGTCCCTGCTTTTCTGGGAAGGGGCAGGACAGGGGCAACTACTGGACTCCACCTTGCCCAAACCCCAGCTGGCAGCAAAGGCAGGGGTGGCCATGTCACCAAATCACCTGTCACCTGGGTCACCCATCACCTGGTGCTGGCTGGGACTCCCTCCTCCAGGGGCCCAGGCAGCCCCTCCAGCAGCGTCCCCCAGCCTGCGGGGATCACCTGAAAGGAATGCTGGGCGTTCCGATAAGCAGTCCCTTTGTCTGGTTTCCTGTTTGCCAGGACGTTCCGAGCCGGCTCTCCTGACCCGCCCACTGGTCCTTAAGGAGTCAGGGATGACGGGTGGCCTTGGGACGGTGCCGGCCTGGCCCGTGAGCCCCAGGACAGCGCAGGGGCGGCACCCACAGGACGCTCCTTGGAAAAACCCGGCTGGGGGGCGGCTGGCCGGCCAGGGCGAGGCTGGAATTTTCTTGCAGGATCTTTGGCGGAAGCAGCCCGGGAAGGGAGGGGAATGGGGCGGCGGGCCTGGAGGCTGCGGCTCTGCTCCGCCCTGCGCAACCCACCCGGAACCTTGTAGGGCCAGCCCCTCCACGGTCTGCGCTTCTCCGGGATGGATGGTGGGAGGAGGCTGGGGAGGCCTCAGCAGGTGCGGTGTGTTCTCCCCAGCCAGCCCGGGACTCTGCGACCTGGTGACGCGCCTGTCATTAGAGAGTGGCCATAAGCGCCCCAGCCACATTATTGCCTGGAGTCTGCCTTGGGGAAATCTGGCACCCTCGGCTCCTGCTGTGTGTCTCTTGGTGCTAGGGCCTTGGGTTCTTTGAGCCAAGTGCATGAATTTTAAGACAAACCTGAGTTTGAATCCTGGTCTGCGTGATCCACACGGGTCTGTGCAGCGTTGGATAGAGCTGCCCATCCTTAACCGGCTGAGGAGAGGATTACATAATAAAGCGCGCTAACATTTCGCTCAGTGCTTGGAGTTTAAGGGCTCAATAGATAATAACAGGGGTGATCATCTTCAGAGATTGAGTCTGATCTTGTAATAGAAGTTTTCATAATCAGTTAAGCATTTATTGTTTGACCACAAATTTCTGACAGCCCATTAACCTAAATACTTTACATCGATGATCTCGTTTAAGCCGTTTTAAAAACGTTGAGATTTCTTTATCTTGCACACAGGGAAACAAAAGCTTAGAGAAAGTCATAATAAGTGGGTGAGACCGTATCAAACTCAAGACATCTAAGTCTTCACAATCATCAGCTCTACCAGGGCCAGGGGTTTAGCTCAGCAGTGTAAACACCTGCCCGGCCAAGTGTGAGGTCATGAGTTCGATCCCCGGTACCAAAGTAAATAAATAAATCATCAGCTCTACTAATGGTAGTAGTAGTTGTATCAGTGGTAGTCTGATGCTCCTCTTCAAGCCCTTACTTGTCTAGCAAACTTTCAAGCATCCTTTAAAACCCAACTCAGTTGTTTTGCCTCTGGAAAACCTTTCTTGGCACCCATCGTCTGGACTCCAGTGACCTTGGAACACACACCTGGCACAGGGAGGGCCTGCTGACAGCTTCTCCCACAAGGGGCAGGGACTTTTTCTTTTCTCGGCTCAGTCCTAGCTACCAAATAATCCACTTGGGCATTCATTCTGGCCTCCTGTGGGGCTCTGCAGGGTCCCAGGGCACCTGACTCTAATCTTCCAGGGGCTGCTAAGTTACATCACTTCGTGAGTGCTGATGCCTGATATCTTCCTGACATCTGGCCAAGCCCTACTTCCTTGGTGCCCATTAAGGAAAAGGAGTTCATGCCTACTCAGCCTGCAGTGCTTCACACACGGTGGCTCACTGGATCCTGCACATACCCTGGGAGGAAGGGCATCTCTGGGAATGCAATGCCAGTCATCAAGGAGAATCTAGGAGGGGACACCTTCCAAGCTGAGGAGGGCTAGCAGCCCCCACACAGCTGGAGCCAGGGACCCCCACACTGGTAGGATGCATTCTGTTTGCCTCCGTCTCCCTCTCTCCTTCTCTGTCTTAGTCTCTCCTGCCTTTCTTTCTAGATTATTCTGCCACGAGAAAGGATATGTGGCTAGTGATGACTCCTGAGACCCCCGACTGTAGCTGTTTTCTGAAAGTCTGACGAGCCTGGCTGTGTTCAGATGTCCAGCTGAGGGCCGTTATTTGTGAGGCAGGATCATGGATGTCATGACAACCCTTTCCGAGTCAGTGTTGGCAGGAGAAGATCCCCAAGAAGAAGAAGGGAAAGGAGGAATGCTAGACAGGCAACAGAAATGATGTCCCCTACTGTCACCTCCTCCTGTCCGGCGAGGACAAGTCCCCACCGCGGATAGGTGAGGAGCTCAGTAGAGACTACACTGCCTTTTGCTGAACTTTCAAGTCCATCCAGAGAGGCTGACCAGTGAGGCTCCCTTCCCTAACTTTCTGGGCCCTGGGAGATACATTCTCTAGAATCGCACCCAGCTGGTACAAATGCCAAGGCAGTCCCTTCCCAGAGGGTGAGGCTGAGTCTGAGCAGCCTCTGCAGGGTGGGTGAGCCCCTGCATCCTGCTCCAGCGCTGCCTGCGTGAGGCCTTGACGAAGGACAGTGGTTTGTCTGTCAGATGTGGGTGCAGAGGAGCATGTGGGGGGACCCACACTACAGGCAAGGTCTATTCTGCCCCTCTTTACAGGCAGGAAACAGGCTGGGGGCAGGCAAGGAGATGCTGAAGGACTTGCCCAAGGACACGTGGCAGGGAAGTGGTGGGTGTTAGTACAACATATCTTTTTGTTCCCATCCGCAGTTCCTGGTTCCAAATGTCCTCCCCAAAGCACATCATACTCCAAGACAGGCCATGGAAACCGGAAGTTCTTTGAGGAGGCTCCTAGAAACCCTAATCTTTCCCTGCCCTTCTAGGGCCAGCTAGGAAGGAATTCTCTCACCTTTCCTTGTCTGATAGTAAATCATCCCAGAGGGTCCACCCCTAAACCCTGGAGGGAGGAATGCGGCCCAGAGAGGCTGTCAAGAGTCTGAGTCTGAGTAATCAGACCTTGCTGGGTTTCCCACCCAGTCTCCCTGCTTAACTAATGTTAAGCAGCGACATCCTCATGACACCCGAAGGACAGAGGTCTGCAGAGCTCCCTCCATACAGTGTGGCACTCGTTTCCACCCACCTCGCCCTTACCTTTCTCTGGGTGGGTCCTTTGTCATATTCTTCATCGTAAACTAGTAAAAATGTTCCCCTGTGTTCTGTGAGCCACTCAAACAAATTAACTGAGTGCAAGAAAGGGGCGATGGAAACCCTGATTTATAGCCGGCTTCCCAGAAGCACAAGTAAAGCAACCTGGATTTACAACTAGCCTCGGTGGCAGGGGTGAGGGGGCCAACAGTCTTGGACATTGAGCTCTCAGCTTGAGACCCCCAGGTACCAAGCTGAGACCGAGGCCCAGCTGAATTGAATTGAGGACACCCTGCTGATGTCTCTGCTGCAGGATGGCCTGCTTGCTGGTGGGGGAAACCCCATGTCTTTTGAAGCCACTGGCAGAGTGACTTCTTTGTTGTGCTCTGTTGCTATATTGTGAGTATACAGTAGAAGACAGAGTCTGAGTCCAGGTTTGTTTTCGTACCATGAGAAACCTTTCGTACCTTGTCCGACGCCAAGCCTGAGCCATTCAGGGCTGCATCAGGGAGCAACTGCAGCTTCCACCTCAGCTTCCACCTCTGTGTGAGGATGGCCCAGACCTGAAGATCGGGCCCACAGGTACCTTTGAGAGGAGAGGCGATGGGTGCACATCACTCCAGTGGCCATGACCTGGGGAGGTCAGGAGGAGTCAGGGTCTGCAGAGAAAGGATGGAATCCTGCTCATCCTGGAAAGTCAACTGAAAAGCTTCCTCCTGTGAGGCACTTGTTACTGCCCTGGACAGCCCTCAACCCTACTGGGCACCCCCCGTCCACTTCCTCTGCTACAGACCAGCACCACAGCTATCCATTCCCTTCCTGATACAGACATCTGGGGAACAGCGCTAGGCTGCACCCCTCTGCTCGTGGGGTGGGTAGGGTGGGTAAGGACAGCAAAGCCCTTGGCTGGAAGAACAGTGTGGGGCAGATGGCCAGGAGCAGCGATTGGGGCAGCAGTGCCTCCTGGTGGCAGAGTCTGGGCTCAGCACCTACCGTTCCCCCCCAGTTCTGCTTCCTTCCCTGAGGAGTCCTGGTTGCTCCCCAGGCTTGGACACTGACATGGGGAAAAGCAGGAGGCAGCAGACTGGTAACAACAGATCTCAGCCTGTCCCCCTGTCTGGGTCATCTTGCCACTGAGACTCCCACTCTGCCCCTCTCACCAAGATATTGTGTCTCAGCCTGGCCAGAAGTTTGGTTTGGAGTTTTTTCCCCCCTACTGACACTATTCTCTACCCCATTTGAGGTCCCCACCTCCCCCCAGACACACACAACTGGCCAGAAATCTCTCACTCAATGCCAGACACAGCCAGATTCAAGTTCCAGCTCTACTCTGCCTCAGTTTCCCCATGTATAAAATAGAAATGGTGATTTCTGTTATCTCTATGTGGGAGTGATCTAGATTGAAAGATCCCCTAAGAATGAGGAACTGTGGAGGGGGGAGTTTGCCCACCAAGAGTTACAGTGAAGAAATTGGTACAGAGAATGACAGCAGAATGTGCAGTCATCTTAAAGACCAGGCTTACTCTAGAGCTGCAAAAGCCAACTGGCACGTGGTGAAAGCACAGGTCCACCTAAGGCAGTAAAGTTCCTGTGGGCAAAGATGAGTCCCTAGGGTCTTCAGGTGCTGGCCAGCAGGCCAGTGGCCAAGCCGAGACTTTGGTTGAGACTGGCCTGGGGAGCTATTGCAGATGGACTTGAGTCCCCCTCTGGATGGCACTCTGGGGGGACTGAGATGTGATGAGCTCTCTTTACCTGGCACCATAAAACCATGGTCTCAGTCCCAAATACTTTTGGACCCAGGCAGATGCATGACTATGCCAGGGGTGTCGGAGAACAGGGGAGCACGGGATCTGTGGCAGAGTCTACACCAGCCCAAGGCATTCAGAGTCAATGACTTGCAAACGTGCCAGCTTGCATCACTCAGGGTCCCAACAGGAAACAGATGGTGAACTCTAATTAGGAGAATTGGGACAGAGTTTATTTTCTAAAGCATTCATGACAAAGCAGGGGGTAGAAGGTCACAAGAGAGTACAAGACTCGGGCCGGCAACAGCAGGGCTATCACTTCCCTTCAGCATGCAGGGCCGAGGGGAGGGCGAGGTGGCCAGGACCCTGAAGGAGAGGCATGTGAAGTTGGGTGACCTGCCTTGGAGGAGCTGGGGAGTATATTTCACCCTTACTCTCTTCTCTCCCTCTCATCTCCTGCTGGACTCACATTTACCAAGTTCCACAGAGCAGGAGACTGTGGCTGTGGACTTTTTAAATGAGCAAGAGATAAACTCATATCTTAATTAAACCTTTGTGTTTTTTTGTTTTTTTAGGGTCTTTGGTAACAGCTGCCAGTATAACCCATACAGTCATCAAGGGAAACACCTGCCAAATATCTATAAAAGTCATAAATTTGTATGTATCAGATAGCAACTGATTAGTGGAATATACAAAACAAATCTGGCAGAAATACAAGGAGAAAGTAAAAAAAAATCAATAAACAAATAAGGACTTGTGTGTGTCTGTGTGGAGTGAACAATAGACCTTCCCATTAAGCTATATCCCAACCCTGTTTATAGTTTATTTTGAGATAGGGTCTCACTGAGTCACTAGGTGGCCCAAACTTATAATTCTCCTGCCTCAGCCTCCCAAATCGCTGGGACTAGAGGCATGTGCCACCACTCCTGGTAGAAATTTTCATTAACTTTTCTTATAAACAATGAATCAAATAGCAAAACATTAGAGAAGATACAGAAATTCAAACAATACAACTAAGGATCTTGATCCATTAAATAAATACAAATCTTGCAACCCTCTTTCCAAAAGAATAGCCATTAGTTATAAGCTTGTTTTTAAAGAATACAGTACTGCATGCTTAGTAATAAAAGAAGTCCACAAATTTCCAAAAAATCAGTATTGGGCCAAGAGTATAGCTCAGTGTTAGAGTACCTACCTAGCATGTATAAGGTCGCAGATTCAATTCCAGGCACCAGGGGGTAAAAGAATCAATATTATTCTCTCACATTTTATAGTCCCAATATAGTAAAATTAGAAACTAACAATAAAAAGTTAGCCAAGAAAATCCAGTATGTTTGGTAACTTAAAAACATTCTAAATAATTCATGGTGAAAGATTATAAAGGAAATTACAAGTTATTTAAAGGGGAAAAACAATAAGCTAAACTGGAACTTGCAGGAAAAAAACATAGTCTTAACTGAGCTTATTAAAAACAGGAAAAACTGGCAACAAATGGATTAAACATCCAACTGAAGACACTGGGAGGAGACAATCAGAAAAGCCAAAGAGAGTAAAGGAAGGAAATAATAAAGATAAAATAGAAAGTGGTGCATATGGAAAACAACAAAAAATTGAACTGATTCTTTTAAAAGCCTTACTAAAAACTCACTGGCACAAAATACACAATATTGGGAAGAAATAGGAGGATATGACCAGTGATGCAATCCAAGGTTATAAAAAGTCACTAAAGAACCCCGTGGGGACCTCCGGTTCTGGAGGGATAGTGACTCAGATAGTCAGAAAAGCCCAGGACATAAATTTAGAAGAAAGCAATGGCTTGTACAGAGAAGTGGAGAACAAAAAAATTATTAGACATGGAAAATTCAAGCAAGTACAGACTTTATAAAAAAGAATGTTTAGAGGCTGATTTAAGAATAAAATGAAGTAAGATTGAAAAGGCGGAAGACAACAGAATAAGAGGCAGGAAGCTATGATCAAAGCCGAAAGGGATCCTACAGCCATTTCAGAGGGAGATATTGATTAAGCTCAGGCATTGTTAACTGGAGTATGCAGGTTAAAAATTTAATGGTGACTAATGAAAGAACAAGAATAGAACATATTTCAAACCAGTGAGGAGGAAATTAAGGAATGAAGGAAATCCAGTCAATCCTCCACTAGGCAGGAAATGACAGAAGCAAAGGAAGACTTGGTGGAGTTCCTGATTTCCGAGATGGCTCCGGAAAACCCCCTGCCCTCGCGAGGCCCTCACCCACCGAGAGCTGGCTGGACTTCATGACTTGTTTCTGTCCAATAGAACATGACGGGAGTTGGGGCTGGGGATTTAGCTCAGTGGCATAAGCACCTGCCTTCAAGCAGGTGGTCGTGAGTTCGATCCCTGGTACCGATAAAAAAAAAAAAAAAAAAAAAAAGAACATGATGGAGTGATGAGATGTCACATCCACTGACAAAAGGTTTCATGCTTGGCTTCATGCTCTGCTTTCCCCAGTTTGAAATTCTTACCATCATTTCTTCCTGCTACGATGCCGAGGCTGGAACCCAAGTCCTCTACCCAGAGCCACGTCCTCAGCTTCCCTTGACACTATAGTACAGGGGGCCCCGGAAATTATGTAGTCAGTCCTGGTCCAAGGTTATTAATAGGGTTAAATATTAATAGGTTAAATAAAATACAGGAAGCACAGCAGATTAGCGTTTCAAGCAAACGATGAGTAATTTTTTTTAGCAAAGTGTATCCCATGCAAATATGGAAGAATTCTCTAAAATTTAAATTTAACTATGTGTCCTGTATTGGTATTTGCTAAACCTGGTGTCTATTTAAAAAAGGTCCATGACTATGACTTCCATCTTTTTTCTTTTTTGGTACCAGGGATCAAACTCACAACCTAGCACTTGCCAGGCAGGCACTTATGCCACTGAGCTAAATCCCCAGCTGTGACTTCCATTTTGATCTCTCTCTCTCTCCCACTCCTTCTCCCTCTCCCCCTCCAGCACGCAATTGCTCTAGTCATTCTGAGGATGCTATGTGGTGACCACCTTGCAGAGAAGAGAGGTTCACGAGGGAGGAACTGGAGTCTTCCACTTGCACTGTTCAAGTGAACCTGCAAGCAGAACCTTAGCTGGTTTTTCTGAAGGCTACGGCCCCTGGCGACTGCCATCTCAGAGAGTCTGAGCAAACATCTGGGAGGTGTAGCTTCCAGATTTCCAGCCCTAAGACACTGAGATAATAAACGTTTATTGTTTTGAGCTGTTTGATTTTGGGGTCATTCCTTACCCAGTATTAGTTAACTATTGATAATACACGCAGTAAATGGGAAACATAAAACAAGATGGAAGAAATAAATTTTAAAATGCTGATGTCACAAAAAATGTAAACAGACCCATTTCATCAGGGTGAGTGAAAATACACAATTCAGCGCCATTCAGTTCACAAGGCACTTAACTTTTTAAAAAAAGGGCGGGGGGCATCTTGAAAGTGAGAACAGGAAAAAGATGTTCTAGATAATGTCAGTTGTGATCTCTGAGCCTTTTACACACTGTTGCCAGATCCCGGTTTTTTTCCTGGCAGCAGACAGAAATCTGTTGATACCAGCAGGGGTGTCTCGACCCCAGGCCCAATTTATTACTCATAACGTGAAAGTACAAGCCCCAAAGGGGGAGATAATTTGGACTAAATCAATCTCATTTTCTCCTTCTCTCTCTTTTTTTCTTTCTTTCTTTTCTATTTTTTTGGCTTTTTGAGACAAGTTCTCACTATGCAGTTAAGGCTGGCCTTGAGTTCTTACTAGTCAAGGCTGGTCTCAAACTTGCAAGGATCCTCTTACCTCAGCCTCCTGAGTCCTGAGATTACAGGCGTGTGCCACCACACCCGGCTTCACTTTCTTTTGGGTCATGGAAAAGATGTTTAAGACACCCAGTTCTGGAAAATGAGGTGTAAGGGGAAATCCGGGAAGGGTTTCTTCTCTTTCCCTTCTCCTGTGTGGCTCGTGGACATAATACATGATAGCAGAGCAGGCTTTGCAGTCCTGACATGACAGATGTGACCAGGAAGACCCACAAGTGAATGCTGATAACGCTGGAAAACAATGGCTAACAGACAAACATCCTTAGGATAGTCCAGGGCCGGGGGTGTAGCTCAGTAGCAGAGTGCTTACTTAGCACTTGGGAGGTCCTGGGCTCCATCTCCAGCACGGCAAAAGTGAGAGAGACAGAGACAGAGACAGAGACAGAGACAGAGACAGAGACAGAGAGAGAGAGAGAGAGACAGAGACAGAGAGATAGAGAGAGAGAGAGACAGGGAGAGAGAGAGAGAGAAGATAATCTACAGCAAGAGGACCACTTGGGCCTAGGCTTGCAGGGTATCCTGCAATGCAAAGGGTCGTGGGAAAATGTCTCTCAATATGCTGCCTCTTGTGGTTTTAATGATTTGTTGAAGAACCTCTTAGATTTTCTATATGATCTGCAGCTAAAGGATGACCAGTTTGCTTTTTCCTGCCCAATAGTTTATTTGCCTGTTTAAAGTTTTATTATTTCACAGGCTAGTAAATCCAGTCTAGCTTTGAATAGAAAATTATGATGATGAACATTTGTTCTGGTTTTCAAGGGAATACTGTAAAATTTTTACCTTTAAATAGTATGTTTGCTGTAGACCTTATTTATTTATTTATTTATTTTTGTTTTGTTTTGTTTTGCTTTTTAGAGACACTGGGCTCACTGTGTAGCCCAGGCTGGCCTTGACCTCACTGTGTAGCCCCGGCTGGCCTTGACCTCACTGTGTAGCCCCGGCTGGCCTCGAACAAGCGATCCTCTTACCTCGGTTTTCCAAGTGCTGGGATTACAAGCACATGCCACCACATCGTGTGGCTGTAGGCTTTAGAAAGAGCCCCTTTATCATTTAAAAGTGTCTTTATTCCTAGTTTGCTAAGAATTTTTATAATCTACTTCATTAGTTTTTCAATTTTTATTGGTACCTGTTTGCAGTGACAATAATCACATTCCCTGTGGGGAGCTGGCACACTCACCTACCACATTTCAATTATTTTCATCCCTTTTTCTCTCCTCCTTTCTCCCTCCTTCCATCTCTCCATCCCCTTCCCATTTACAAAAGACCTACCTGCCTGTTACTTTTTTCTCTCTTACATTTTGCTCTTTAATTTACTTCTATTTTGGATTTTTCATGTAAGAGAAACCATGCAATATCTAAGCTTATGTGTCTGATTTATTTCACTTAGCATTAGAGGCTCAAGTGGTATCCATTTTCCTATAAATGTCTCAACTTTATTCTTCTTTATAGCATAACTGTATCCCATTGCATATAAATACTACACTTTCTTTACCAATTCATCTTTTGATGAGCATATGGGCTGCTCTCAAGATTTACCTATTATGAATTGTGCTGCTATAAACTTGAGTATGCTGTATCTAACATAATGTCTTTAACTCTTTTAAGAAGATACCTAAAAGGGAAATAGCTGGGCTGAATGGAATGTCTAGTTTCAACGTTTTGAGAAATCTTCATACTGATCTCTGTAGCTGTACTAGTTTACATATCCACCAACAGGGCAGATCCACCAACAGCATCTCCAACATTTACTATTTGATTTCTTGGTGAGAAGCACTTTTTCTGGAGTAAGATAGAATCTCAGCATTGTTTTAATTTGTATTTCTCTAGTGGTCAGAGATATTGAACTTTTTCATATATTTATCGGCCATCTGTACTTCTTCTGAGATGCGTCTATTCATTTCAGTGGCCCATCTTTTAATTTGGGAAGTCAAAGTTTTTTAGTTCTTTATACATTCTAGGTACTAATCCTGTGTCTGAAGAAGAGCTAACAGGTTTTTCCCATTCTGTAGATTGCCTTTTCTCTCTGTTGGTTGTTTCCTTCACAAGATTTTTAATTTGACTTGATCCCATTTGTTAATTCTTGATGTCATTTCTTGTGCAATTGTGGTTCTGTTCAGTAAGTCCTTGCCTATGCCTATGTCTTTAAGAATTTTATTTACTTAATTTTCTGGCAGATTGTTTCTATTGTAACATTTAAATCTCTAATCCACTTTGATTTTAGTTTAGTACATGGTATGAGATACAGGTCTAGATTCAACCTTCTGCTTAAGGAGATCTGGTTTTCCTCCAGGGTATGTTTTTGGTCCCCAATCTTCTTAATTTCGTCAAATTTTTTTTTCTCTAAAATTGCTTTATATCATAGTCAGATGTGTTTTTTTATGAATTTAATTATATAAATGACAATTTTCTAATTTGAAATAACCTTGGGTTCAGACGAAACCCAACTTGGTCATTATGTATCTTTAAAATATATTGCAACGTTTAGTCTAATAGCACCATGTTTAAGATATTTCCATCCATGTCCATTCTTAACCTACAATCTGACCTACAATATTTCTAACTCAAATTGTCCTCATTTTGACTGAGGATCAAGGTAACGCTAGACACACAAGGTGCAGTGGGTAGTTTTTCCTCACTTTCTATTACTTGAGGAAATTTATACCAGACATGGACTTTCTGCTCCATGAATATGTACCTGAGCCCAAGATACTTGGTTTTCATAGCTATGGGCATCTCCCTAAAACCTTCTTCTTTCTTATGACCTCAGCTTTGCTGCTAATTCAGTTCTCAATGTTGCATAGTTTGCTGGAGGAGTCTCTCTTCCTGAAGGCTCCTTATTGCAAACACTCAGATCATTCTATAAATGTGATCAGACATGTCAGGACACTTAAAGTGAACTGACTGACTGACTGAGACTTCAAGCCTACTACATGTGAGACGTGGGTGAAACTATCCATGTCACAGGCAGTGGAAGTCGTGATGTGGTTACATAAGCAAAGACCTGGGCTCTCATCTTGAGCTAAGCTTCCCAATAATGAAAAGGATACTTTGTCTTTCATAATTACTCTTCTATTTCATTTCTTAGCATAGTCTGGGCAAAAAGGAGAAAGTCTACTTAAAGTAGACACCCTGCAAGCCCAAGCAGCAGATAGAGAGAGAAGGCTCAGGGTAATCAGTAGAGTACACAATTAGAGAAATGTTTCCCCAAAGAATGCCATAGCATCTCTGCTAAAGATGGTATTTAGTAATAGATGAATAAACCTCTATTACAGTAATAGTTGTGTGATTGTTTTAATGTAGATTAGAAAAACTATATAATTACAAATGATAAAAGACATGATATCAGACTTGCAAATTTATAGATAGAACATAAGACTAGGGTTGTCAATTAAAGAAAAATAACACCATCAGTGTAAGAAAAGTGTAAGAAAATGTGGCAAGCCCAAAGTGTGGTATAAAAATGATAAAAGTTTAGAAAATGCTCAGATAAAGGCCTACTTAGTGCATAACAAGCCAGTCTCAACAATACCCCGCCCCCCAAATAAAACCTCAGGTGCACAAAAATACACCCTCTGGGAGTATAGAGATGGAGGCAGATTTTAGGAAAGGTGTTTTCTTGTTTTTTGTTTTTGACTGGGGACTGAACCCCTGACCTTGTGCTTGCCAGGCAGGCACTTACACCACTGAGCTAACACACTAGCCCAGGGGGCAGATTTTAAAATGAGAGAGAAGCACTTCCT